CTGAGGAAGTGTGGACTGGATGATCAGGTAGCAAGGTGGATTGTTAACTGGTTAAAAGGAAGAAGTCAGAGAGTTGTGGTCAATGAGACAGTCTAGTTGGAGGCCGGTATCTAGCGGAGTCCCTCAAGGGTCACTACTGGGACCAGTACTGTTCAATATATTCATCAATGACCTGGAGGAGGGAGCAGAGTGCACTGTCAGCAAGTTTGCTGATGATACAAAGCTGGGAGGAGTGGCTGACACGCCAGAAGGCTGTGCTGCCATCCAGCGAGACCTGGACAGGCTGGAGACTTGGGCGGGGAAAAATTTAATTAAATATAATAAGGGCAAGTGTAGGGTGTTGCATCTGGGCAGGAACAACCCCAGGTTCCAGTATAAGTTGGGGAATGATCTATTAGAGAGCAGTGTAGGGGAAAGGGATCTGGGAGTCCTGGTGGACTGTCACTACTGTTCATGTATTTGATGTTAATGACAAATGCTGAATTAAAAGCCAAACTTCTAAAACTGAACCAAAAAAAACTTGCTACGAGCCCAGGACTGGAATCCAGACTTTCACAACACTGAGAGTTTACAAATGAAATAGGTTATTATAGCTTTTTTAGTTAATATATGGATAGGCATTATAAAAACCTTTTTCAGCAGCTACTTGGACATATAGAGCTTTTGCAGTATACTAACTCTCCTTCTTTCTCCACCTACTCCCTACAGCCTAACATTTTGAGAAGTAGCTAGATATTTAAGGAATACCAATTTTCAGTAAGCACAGAATGAGAGCCACTGGCAGAAAAGGAAGAAAGTTGCTTCTTCCTCTAACTTTTTTGACTTCTGATTGTCAACAGTTCTCTATATAACTAATAGTAAGATGCTGATATAATCTTACCACATATTAATTTAGAAATGGTCATTTACAGCAGCAGATTAAATATGCTCTTCATTTTTCTTCCTCCAGATGGCAGAAATATGACCAATTTAAAGCATAATCTCTCTTTATATGTATACTACACACACAAATGAAGTTTAATTCTGTTTTGAAGAACACTTATGTTTTAGGAAAGGTTTATACTTAAAAAATATCAAAGAAGGAGATTACAGGATTATAACATTTTGAAGTCATTTAAAACAGTACCTTCACAGGTAAAGTGAAAAGTTGGTCTCTTTCAGCTTTTTTTTTTTTTTTTTTTTTTTTTTTTTTTAAAAAGTTTGGCATGTAAATCTTAATTTTATTTACGGTTAGCTTTTTGATATCCTACTATTTAATTCTCCTAAGAGGAAAATTTTTGAAAATTCGAGTTGCAAAACAGAAGTAGGAACTTCTCATGCACTGATCATCATAAAGGAAGTCTCTTTCTTCCACGCATGATGACACAAAAATATATATTTAATTCTACACAGAGCACCTTAAGTACAACAAAACCCCTATTGAATTTACATTTAAGTTAACAATGTTTCTTAAACCTCTTACTATTTCACTCAGCTTCCTACTATCCTACCACTTTTATTTATCACATTTTATCATTTTGCATCTGTGGTGTTGACTGATGAGCAGGGTAACAGTCACCATCTGTAAAAAGAGAAGCTTCCCAAGACAAATTCTGAAACAAAGATCTCCGAGAACAGACATAAAGTCTACTTAATAACTGAAGAGGACTAAAAGAAGGGGTCTCACTCTCTTCTTCAACTATCACTATATTTTAGAACTAGTTAACCACTTTATTGATATCAATATGCTAAGACTGGAGTTCAGATACTATTTTTTTTTAAGCAATATTTCAAAAATATTTTGGATAGTAACTGGTTTTGGTTTTTTGGTTTGGTTTGTTTGGGTTTTTTGGTTTTTTTTGTTTTTTTTTTTTTTTTTCCATTTTCAATCGATGTCTTCTGGTAACAGATCTATCTACATACTAGTGAACAAATAGCTAACCTGCAGTGAAACAGCTATCTCTGGTTTTGGACCACAGCACAAAAAAAACCCTAGGAAAACATCCCTGTCAACAAACAAAGCTAACAAATTTAACCTAACACAGAGAAGATATTTTTTTCTGACTGTTACCTTTCTTTAATTCAGTCCTTATTAGACTAAAATTCATAAAAGCCCATTTGATTACATAGCTCAATCAACTCAAATGGCTTCCTATAATATAGTACTTTTCATATGAAAATACTTTTGTGTCTAGTATATTCAGCAATTAATTCCACTTTGCCAGATTTCCACTTAAAATTTGTTTTACATTAACATTTATATTAACAGAAGCAAAAACTAAAGATTTCTTATATGTAGTTCTACGTGAAATGGAACACGGTAATGCTTACTTTCTTTAATGCAAGAAAAAACCCCAAAACAAAACACAACAGAATTGCATTTTGATTATTTTTAAATTCCAGAAAGAGACATGTAATTCTAAGTGTCATACCATTAAAACTGCATAGTTGCTGAGGGAGTAGCACTGAATGGTAGTAATATTTTCATCAGACAGAAGAATGCGACAACCATCAGATTTCCATCCCCCTTGTCCATTCAGTAAATCAAAGTCCCACTGAGCTGCAACAGCATCTGCTCCGTGCGCAATGCGCCGCAGTGTCACATTTATAGGAACGTGGTGACTGGCTAGGTTTAAACCATCTGTTCAAAAGAAAAGTATTTGCACATAAGTTTCTCAATATTTAACACATTAGATGCCAAAAACCTTTTATTAGATATAGACTAGTTGAAACAAAGGAGTAAAAAATGCTTCTTATTTTTATAGAACATAATAATGAAAAACAAACCTATCTTGGTAACGATAACTGGTGTTACAACTGTGCGACGCTTCCCATCATCAGCCAGATTGGTTGAATTTCCTGTTGCTGGAAAAAGCTTTCCATTGCGAAATGCAATAAGTTGAAGCTTGTAGATGGATTCATCTGCTGGTCTGATTTCTCTTTTTTGCTTTTGGGTGAAAAGGGAAGCTGGTAACTGGATAGAAGCCTCTACAATTGTGTTCTAGGAACAAATAGATTTTTAAAGTTTTAAAGAGAAAATTAAATTCTTTACAGAGACTAAATTAGCAACTCCTCCAACTGAACAGTGTCAGAGGCGAATGCATTTAGCAGACTATTGTGACAAACCTATCTGACAGTGTTTCCAAGTAATCTGTAGTAAAATAGTTGAATCAGGTTATTAAAGTCTTAACACTTTTTTAAAAAGAAAAAAAAAAAGTTCAGATTCTCTGTTACTTGTTACAGAGAGTGAAGCTGAAGCTGGTACCAATAAAATGTTACAAGAGTTTTCCAGATTATACTATTGGCAACTAGAAGCAGGAACCAAGACAAGCAGACAAAGAAATGCTGTACTAGTGCATTAGTACCATTCAAAATGAAACACTGCATATAAAGAGGTTTTGATAACTTATATATAAATTATACTTGGGTAGGAAGCATGCATGCAATTTCACAGAATTGCATAAATCTAATTTCAAATACACATCCTACAGTGTTGTTCAGGCACAGTAAGAGATAAGAGCAAACCGGTATGTTGGGGAACGTAACTGAAAAAAACGTTTTACAGAATATGAGGAAGTGTTGCCATTCCGTACACCCCCATGTGTGTGTGTGTGTGTGTCTGTGCATGTGCAAACACACACAGAAATAAAATTAACCTTTGAGATCTGTTTTCTACTTCATGCTTAATTACAGTATCACTGAGAACATTATTTCAGATATTTAAGGAGACTGTAAATATGTGATTTAATATGCAATGAAGGTGAAAATACAGCAAAATAAATCCAAGTATTCTTGTGAACTAGGGAGGATTTCATTTTCCATACTTATGAAAAGTCTGAAAGTATCTTTCCACTTAACATGTTTTAATTAAGAAAATCACACCTACTCAATAAAAATTGTGTCCATTAAATTATTCTATAATCAAACTCTATTATTGTTTTCACTTTAATTTTCTCTTGTCACAGTCATTCTGGATTACATAAAAATGCTACTTTAACAATAGAAATTAATAATATAAATATGAACCATTTGGAAAGCAAGCTTAAGATATTATTACAGAGTCAGTAAGGAAACAGTGAGTATCCTACCTTTAAAGCCAGACTTGACAGTGTATTTGAAACGTTGCACTTAAAGCTTAATTGTTTATCTAGATTTCCATCTGGATCTCTTCTCCCGTAGTCACTGAGTCCTGTACGGTCTGATGTAGCCACTTTCTGAAATACGGTGCATGTCATCCCAGTGAAAGCAGCAGCCTTTATTACATAAGCCTCAAGAGCAATATTTGGAGAATACTGTGACAACAAAAATCAAACATTAAATAATTTTACACACCACAGGAAGAACAATAAATAATCTTAAAGAGATTAAAACACCCAGAAAACTGTTTCTGTTTATCTGTCAGGGATAAATCTGTTCAGAGTATTTCTCTTCTCCCTACAGAAACAGTACACATTTCAGATAACCAACACCTATTAAGAAAAATAAAAAGCTATTAAACTCAAGAGCCAGCAAAATTAATTCTAAATAAATAAATTTATACATACAGTAGAATAAACTTGAGCTCCATTTGCAAGCCGATACATAGCAATTTTCTGCAGACACTGTACAATTCTAGTGCAAGCCTTGGCTTCCCTTTGTGCCATCCACAGAACACGTTCCTCAGCTAACATAATGTTACTTGCTATGTCCACCATCACGTCACCAAGCTAACAGGGAAGAGAAATAAGACTATTTTATATCTTTGAAAGCATTCATCGAGTAAGATCTTTATCAGAAAATACAAAGACTTGTCAGCACAAAAAGCAAAAGGAAATTGGTTGTTCCTATTTCAATCACTGCTTGTCACACTGAGATACGGAAATACTTTGACTCAAGACATTTACCTCCATCCAAGGAAAAGGTTATGCCAATGTGTGCTTATATTATACTTAGAAAACAAAACCAGGAGAAATACAGATATTTCATTAAAATCAGAGTTTAATACTCCATGTTCTACTGTACTGATTATTTTAAAGGACTATTTAAAATCAACTTGAAACATAAAATAAATAAAAATAAAATAAAATGTACATCAACAATAATACAGTTTGTTTATCTGGGGGAAGATAATAAGAAAAGAGTAATACAGGCAAAAATTATCATGCAACCCTTCTGCTTCTCTTCCTTTTGCTATGTCTGTCTTTTCCTTGATTTCTTCCTTGCCTGCTTTCAATTTTACATGAACTTTTTTAGGGCACAGGTTATACATGGAAGAGACGGCAAATACCCGTAGGTACCAAAGCTGCTTTCAAACCACCAACTGCATTGTTGTAAGTTTATGCTCACACTCCCTACCCTGTCACCTGTATGACAGACAGATTTTATTTAGGACACAACTCTGCCAAAATTAATGAGCATCTACATTGACAATATTGATGTTCACCAGATTTTCACATTTAAGAAACAGTGACAAATACTGGACCAAAACTGAAGGTGCATATATTTTCTAGTTGAATTGCCTGAAATGCATCTCCTTCACCATCCAGGCTTCCCAATTTCTTTTCAGAATATTACTAATAAGGAGACAACATAGTAGCTTGTTCTTCTTTTTCTAAGTCTTTAAAAACAGCGGCAAGAATGGGAACATAAAAATATTTAATGTTTTAAGAACCACAATCAGTGAACATTCTCAACAGCTAATACAGAGCCTCAAGCAGCATTTGCAGGCTGTAGCCCTTTTAATTAAATTTTCAAGAACAAATTAAAGTTCAATTAATTGAAGATGCTTATTATGACATTACTACACGTTTTATTCATCAACAAATGGTGGTTTTACAATAAATTATCAGTATTAAGAACCTGAAGTCATAGAACTCAAGTTGTTTTGTGTCTCATACTTTTAAAAAATATAACAAATGATTCTTTCCCCGGCTTACCAAGGTACGTACAAGTTTTTCCAACTGCATTCTAACTTAAGACAACCTACTAAGAACTTTCTGAACAGTTTGTTTCAGTTTGTCTAAGACCAAAACTACCTATGAATTTAACTTAAATTTTTTCATATAATCTATCACGTTCAGTCATGGCAAAGTAATGCCAGGCTGTGTCACTCTACAGACAATAAATCATAGCTGAGAAAAGAATATCCTCATAATGTAACAAATCATGCAGCAACGTAAAACATGTTTGTATTTGTGACTGGGTACAAAACCAGTCATTTAATTAACTGCTTGTATAATTCCAAAATATACACACATACAAAAAAAAAAAAATCCAAGCTATGATTGTAAAAAAAGACATTTAGCCTGAAAATTCTCCAAGGAGTTCTGCAAAGAATTTACAACCAGCATTTATGGTTTGCTGAAGGTGGATGGGGAAATTTGGCATTTTTTTGTTCAAGTTTAAAACTGAGGCATTGTGGTCTCCAACTTCCCAACATGCACTGTACAGTGAGATCAATATAACCTCTGTTCAGCAGTGAAACAGAGAGTTCCTATCCATTCGTGGGACTATTCAACCACTTGCATTTTTCTCCCCAACAATGAGCGTTCTCTAAGATTTTATTTTAATGTTTTATCTTATATCCTGCTAGATATATAAATACTGAAAACCTTAGAGATACAGCTCAATACTGAATAAAGACAGCCTACCATGATGGGAGGGGAGAAGATAAGTCTTTTTTATTCATTATTGAGAGGATCTCCGAGGTTTTCATTATTCGTATTTCTAGATAAGAACATACCAATGAAAACCTGTGTGACCCACTCCATATTAAATAAAAACAGACTTACTGTACCTATCTCCCTGCTCCAGTGCTGACCAGAGGTGTTACTCACATTACAGGTCCAGTGAATGCTGGATCATCTCAGCGCGAATGCAAAGTCTGTGACCATGGGTCAGCAACTTCAGGGACCTACTAAACAAACAAAAACATGGAATAGAATCTGATAATCCACTAACTCAGTGCCTGCATCTAACGTTGAGAAGGTTTCACTGCTCAGAATACTTAAGGACAAACACTTTGATATTTTTAAAGTGATGGTAAATTATCCAGTTACCTCTTTATACTTTTCAGCAAATCTTCCAAATTTCTCTATCATTTCAGCCACAAAAATAACATCCATCTTATCAGAAAAATTTGCTGCTTCAACAGTGTAAGCCAAGAGCTGTCTTGCTGTTGCTACTGCATTAGTAAGGTTGAGTGGCATCTACACAGAGAACAAACATAAACCTTTTGAAGTAAAAATTAAGTACAAGATAGAGGCAACACTTCAGCAATTAATAAATAAGCATTTTGGATTGCTATCCAAAGAGGACAGCAATCCCCAGAGCGATCACAGTGTTTTAAGTAGCCAGGGACTATCACCATATCTGTTAGCAGGAACATTTCCTACAAGCCAGAGAACCTGCAGCCAGAAACTGGGTCTTGTCCTGTTGTCCTAGAAGGGAGAGAAGAGTTGCACCAAGAAAAGACACTACTGTCACACTTATTTGCCTTTTCACCAGAGCCTAGGCATGACAACACAAAGCCCCTAAAATATGGTATTTTATAGCAAGAGAAGCCAAAAGAAATTAAAACACAAACACCACTGCTGTAGCATTCACTCTTAATTCCATAATTACAGAAAGCATTTGGAATTGAACACATACATATACACAAAAAAACCCCAAGATAGAGCCTCTCTATGACAAAGCTCATTATTTAATTCCTGAAACAAGGACCAAGCTGGAAAATTCTTCACTAAATAGTACACAACCTCAACGTGCCTGAGCTAGCAGGGACCAAAAATAGGAAATTTCACGTAGTACAGCGGAAAGCTGTGCAAATGTTATCAGCTCATGTTCAGATGCTGTTTATCCATGATAATCCAAACCAGAGATGTCTCCTCTCTCCGTTTTCTGGTGTACAGATATCTAGTCTGCCTTACTGGATTTGCAATGTGACACATAAGCACAACTATATATTTGTCCCTGCTAGTCTTAGCACTTGTACATAGATTGGAATGCAATTAATGGAAGATTATTTTTTTTTCCAAAATACTAAAAGGCATTTAAAGTGTAAAGTTCAAAGTCACAATACACACTGAACAAAGTCACCTGTCAAATCCAGATATTCTGTATAATTCCTTTGAACTTTTTCTTTAAACATTAATTTCTATCATACACAAACAACAACAGTGAAATATAAATGTTTTTGTATAAATGTTACAAAGGCTTCACTCCATTTTAAACTTAGACCTCTACTTGATTTAACTTGCTTGGCAGAGTTCTAATGTTCAAAATGGCTCAACTACCTTTGTGTGCAAAGGCTCTAAAGAGGCTTAGAATATTATTACATTTAATACTGGTCTCGAAGAGACAATAAATTTCTGTGTAGAATACTGCTAAAAATTCCAGACCTACTACACATGAAGAGAGGAAGGCCCTAATGAGTAAAAACAACTAAAACAAAAACTTGCCACTTCTCCCTTTAAAAAAAACAAAAAACAAGAAACAGAAAAAACCCCAAAGAAATTTGAAACGTCTATTTCAGTGTAGCATACCTGTGTGCATGTATTCTTAAGCAGATAATAGGAAGTTATCTACTTCACACATGGAAATTATACTGCTTTTCCGAAGATACCAATCTGACCCTTGCATTTTAAACTTCTTAACACAAAGTTGGCAACATTCTTCCACAACCTGATAAATGTTGGCTAACCAAAAGCAGTTATAAAAGACAGAAGCAATCTAGGCTCTGGAGCTGTTGCAACTCTGAAGTTTGGCTACAGAACATAGGCAGAAGTAGTGTTGAGCTATTACAGGCCTTGCAGGAAAATGTGAATTCCCAGGTAAGGAAAATCAAAGCAGCAGCTCTCAATAAGCAAACACTCAACCTTGTTGTGTCCCTCAATGGGACAAGAAAGGGATCCCCAGCATCATCTCCCACCTGCTAACCAGTCATTAAGCACCACCGCTCCTCATTTCAGCCCTCAAACATGTTTCTTATGACCAAGCCGTGGCACACACCTCTAATGCTAGGAATGTAAAGCCGTAGAGTACGAACAGTTACGTCAATCCCTAAATTCACCTTGGACTGGAACAGGCAGTCTTCTCCCTTTCTCTCCCTCCTACCTTTTCCATCTTTCTCACACCGGTGTTCACCGGTCCTCAGGGAAGCAGAGCACAAAGAGAAAAGCTACGTCTGCATTAGTAAGTAACTGAACGCAGAGGGAGCAAGTCAGCAACAACTCATCTCCACAATATGCAGTTCAATGTTTTTACCCCAAACTAGATTTAGCCCAAACCACTGGATGCCCAGCCTTCACCACGTGCATGAATCGGATACATCCAAAGGGCAAATATCAGTTTAGATCCTGACTGACCCAGTTAGAGGCTGTGGTACTTCAGACACACAGTGTGAAGCTTTCTCCAAAGGGATGTGAGCTCACACACTGAGGAACACACACAACATGCAGTAATCCCACCCTGAGGTCAGACAAGCACCATGGCCCCTGTTAAACATGGGCGGTGCTACCAACATCATTAGATCAAGTGGCACAGCTGTATTATTAAAAAAAACCCCAAACACCACCATCAAAAACAAAAAACCAAACAACACACAAAAAATCCCACAAAAAATATTATATCTCCATAGCTTCCCCTGTTGCATTGATACTAGTGATCTGACAGTACACAACGGAAAAGATCAAGCTTAAACCAAAGGTTCAAAGGTTTATGGAGTATTTCACAATGGAGCACCTATACATACACGGTTGGGTACATCACTACACGCACACTACAACGCTGTAGAACAGTGTTTGTGAAAGCGTGCATTAACTAGAGATAAGCCTCAAAATGAGTTTGGAGCTAAATAATTTTGTTTCATAGCTACATTTAAAATCTAGAATACTCTCTTGTATCCTGGTCAGTACTACCAGTACCACTAGAAGCCTATTTAATACTCACTACTTTCACTAGTTAACTCTCTTCAGCCACACTGAGTCTATTAGAGGTTTACAGCAACAAAGAGCAGAGCTTGACTATCTCTATTATTATAATGAAAATAGTTGTTGTTCATTACAACTTCAGCCTGCCTTGCTTCTTCACAGCTTGTGGGCGGGACGGGGCATCCAGCTGACAAAACCAATCATGATACGAACCATTCTCTTATGCTTTATACAAGTACACCACAGAATAAAATTTCCCTTGCACTGTCAATCTGGGGACACTCAAAACTGATGTTAAACCAAACTCTTAATATCAGCCTACAAGTTCTAGTGTTGTACTCAGAGGCATGTGTTCATAATTCATCCAGACCACCAGTATTACCAACTTCAGAAAAAAATTGAGAAACAGACTTTTGAGATTTTATTTTCATTAAAGAACTTGATTTTATAGAAATGCACAAATTACCTGATTGAACATATAAAGAACTCGAGTCACATCATTTGCATATTGGCACCTGGAGTAGTCCTCTTCTGCCCAGTAGCCTCCCCTGTCGCATCTGCGCCAGGCTCTTCTCTCATCTTGTGAGTTGCCAGGATATATCCCACTGCCAGCAGAATAACGTGTACACAGCAGGTATGCTGTGATGCCTGCCAATGTTCTAGGCCACCTGGGGAGTCAAAAGGAAAAAAAAAATAAAAATCAGACAAATTTACATGACAAGTAAATAAAAGGATTAAGCACTACAACATGAAATAAAGAGACAATCAAAACTAAGTATCTCTAAACTATTTAAAGGGCCACCTTGGCTCGCCGTCAGTATTTTCAAGCTGTTCACATTTGTGTACTATTAACAAACCTGGTTCTAATGATAGCGTGCTTTTTTTGAATTCTTTCATGAGGTTGCAGGTGGAGAGAAAAAGGTGCTTACAAAATTACTAAAAATAGTTTTCAGGTTTTTTGGGGGGGTTTTTTATTGTTTTGGGGGAGTTTTTTTTACAAAAAAGCCTGGCGTATTTCCTAAAAAATTCCATAGTAGCACTATAAAAACAGTTGTTAAATAAACAGTAGCAAGCCCTGAGAGCTTTCTACTTGTCCTATTCACATGCATCAATGTAACTTTAAAATGACTGCATTCATATCAATACTAAATTGCAGATATAAACCAAAGACTACATTTACAGTAACTAGGAAAGAGTAGCAGTAGTACAACTACTTTGATTGATTTTGCAACCAAACAATACTAAATAGAAATTAATAGGAAAAGAAAGTGTTCATGTTAAGAAACTAGAAAATAATATATATACATATATGCAGATAAAAATGAAATAAATGAATACAGACAACTAAACTGCAATATGCCTTCAGTGCACTGAACATTCATGAGATCAGAACTGATGCAGTACTGTATCTTTCAGAACACTAATATTTAAAGTTTAAAAGCAAAAAGCATACATACCTAAACTGCAGAATGCTAAGGATCTCAAATCCTATAACCCAACATGTAAGGTTTAATTAAAACAGAGAGCAAAAGAGAGCTTCATTTGATCATCCCAGGCTTTCTGTACCATGATCAAGTCAAGCTCCTTGAACAGCCTTAAGAGCTAACACACTTTTTCTCAGTTTTAAGTATTTCAAAGGGCCTTGCACAAAGCAGTTGCCTCCAAAAACTGAAATGATCGAACAAAAAATTCTGTTAGATTACACTGTGATTTGAAGTTTGCTTTTATATCTGGACTGCTTTTCAGTAAATGGCCATTTTTTTACTACTATCACCTAAATTAAGAGATGCTTAGAACACACCTAAATTTGAAAAAGAAAAAAAAAAGAACAAAAAAACCCCCCAAAACCCAACTCCATATTTGCAGAAGGATGGAGGCAACACCTTGAATACTGCCAAATACTTTCCAACTTTCAGGAAATGAAAGTTTTAATACTGCCAAAGAAGATAAACTGAAGAAGTCTCTGGTCAGCTCCGTTTTCCTTCCTTATTCATCAGTTAAGTAACTTTTCTTACTGAAGATGCTGGGATTTATCATAGATCTTTCTCAAAGAAGAGAGTAACTCCAGGGGATATACCAAGGCAAAAGGCTACAATTTTCAATTACACTAAATTATTCAAGAGATTAACCTTTTGGGCTATATTGAAAGTCTTCTCTACCCCAAAATCCTATTTATTCCTAATCAACTCCTATAGAACAATTTTTCTATGTTCAGTAATGGAAGAAAGAAAGACTCTTACTTCAGCCCATTTTGGAAAGGATTACTTAGGTTTGGACAACAAGAAAGTCAAAGATAGCTACTGGTGGCATCCTTAAAATGCACAGGTCATGGCAACAACTCTAAAAGAATTCAAAGTCAGTAAGGAATCTACTGGGAAAGACTAGACAACAATTACAACAAACCAAAATAGAAAAAAAAAGGCTTAAATTTTACTACCTTTTATAACAGCTTTGGTATTACAAATCAGTTCTCCGTATTGTACTGACATCATTTAATTAAGAAATGGAGACTTATTATTGTGAGCATCACCATAGTATCTGAATACTAGAAGAGACAGAAGATTATTTGGCTATTGTAGCACAGATTCATCCAGCCTAGCAAATATGCTTACACTTGTATTCAGAGCCTCAGAAGCCACTGAGCATTCAACCTTTATCAGACAGGAAAACTCATATCAGAACTGGTGACAATAGAGGTGGTTAAAAAAAAGGAAAAAAAAAAAGATTCTGCAGTGGTAACACAAATTATTTACCATCTTTTCTCCCATATAGAAGAAAAGCTAGCAGAAAAGACAAAAATCTTCTTTAGAAAAATTACAACAGCCTTTTTAAGTGCTGCAATCCCAGGAGTGACCTTAGTGTAACATTACACCCACCCCAGCAAGCTAACAAAAGCATCACTTTGGATCATGTCTGGCCAAATCTGATCATGGACAGAGCACGTTATGGATCTGCTGGGAAGGGATAAGGGGATATAATACATGTAAATTTATCTAAGTCTCTGAAATTTCTGTATGGACAAATTAAAATGAAGTCTGATCAACACAGACTGGGGAAAAACAAGTACAAAGATGAGCTACTTCCATGCTTCCCACTTCCATGCTCCCACACTTAAGAAGCATTCAGAGAATGAAGTCAAAAAGAAAAGAGGCAGATGAGGACAACTAATAAATCAGCTGGCACAGCTGTTAGAAGACATGCAGGCCCACAAATACTTTGCGTAATATACAGAAACCTCAGCTTCTAGAATGCAGAGTCCAGTTTCCAGAAATGCTGACAATGAAGTGCCAAAATATCATTTCCAAAACAATTTTATCAATACTGAAATTTTTGTATTAAGTTTCCACATCAAAGACGCCGCTCTGAAAGGGATATCTGTCTCTCTCTTTACAGGCAGTTTTCTAAAAGTTGTGCTTTTCCAAAGCATTTTAAATTGAAGCGTGGTCAGCTCAGTTTTGACTGAAAGTATCCCCTTCCAGACTGAGGCCTTAGGATAATTTAAACTCTGTGGTCGTGACAGATGTTGTATGACACAACCTGCAACACAAATATTTTCACTCAAAAATGGCATATGCCATTCCTTTGCTCACTATTCACACCTAGTGCTAAAGAATTAGAGAAACCAGAGTGAAACACTAGGACTCAAATGAAAAACATTTTTTTCAGGAGAGCTTTAATTACTATATTTTTAAGCAAGTATAATTTCTAAGCTATATGTGTACCTTCTGGAACTTCTGTAGCCAGGAAATGGAAAAAAGTGTCAGTTTCAGTATTTAACACTACTTCAAAGGTAGTTAGATTATTACAAGATTATGTGTCTTCTCTCCCTGTTCTCCTTTCCACTTCTATATGTCTTTTTCATTTTTGTTACTGTCCCTTTATTTCTACCACATTTACTTTTCATTCATCTCCCAATACAGCATTTTATCATCTTTTACCATGATCTTCTCAAAAGAATACTAGCAATTCCAGACAGTCACATAGTCTGTGCTACCTTTATAAAAAATTCAGGTATCTAAAGAAACATTTTAGTAATAAAACTAATATATTATTAATCTAATGATTTATAAAGTTTTCCACTAGACTGGACATAAAAGGTGGGAAATTTAAAGCTCCCAGTTTTCTGTCATAATTTCACATAAACAAAAGCAACACAAATGCCCGGCGCCACTAATTGAAGCACGTTGTGGGGAACAGTGTCCCTTACCCTCTTTCCTGTCCCATTCCTAATACCCCTTGTGTGGGTACAAGTTTCTTTACAGCACAGTGGTGAATGAGATTGGGGAACTGATTCCAGCTGTAACTACACTTCCCTTATTCCCTATTTTTGCTAAGTGGATGTTAACCTGAACCATGCTCAGCCATGAACTGTTTCCTCCCAATACCTGTATGAGATGAGCTGATGAGACGCTCTCTGCTTTCCATGAAGCCGGAGAGGACATCCCTCCAGCAGGGCTCAACAGGTGACTAATGACATGAAATTTTCATCATGCAAACAAAGGCTACATACATTTGTCTGCATTCTTAATTCCTTGTGGGCCTAAGCTTGAGTATCTTTCACAGTTTACCCAACTGCTAGCAGAAGTGCAAATTTGGACTGCACCAACACTCTTCTTTTATCACTGTTTATAATTAGATGCTCAAAATTTATCACATATACATGAAAGTAGACAGCTGTGGGGGAAAAGATGGTTCATTTACATTTAAGTACTGTAATTTCATTTCAGGAAAAAAAAAGCCAGACCATGAGATTATAAAAGAAACCTTCCCTTCATGTATATTAATTCTGTTTTGAAAGCATTAATTTCTTTAAACCAACAATAACTTTTAGTTACAATAAGTTTTTATATCATAATTTCATTAGCTTACAGGTAGTGTATTTTTTTTTTCTTATTACATCTTAGTAATTCTCTAACAAATACAGTTCTAAGATTAATTACTCCCAATGAGTAACAGTTTTCAAAAGGCTAATTCTTATATTTAACAAAGAATTCTATCAACTACCAGCATAAAATTATTCTAAACACAACAGTGGAAGGATTTACTGAAGCAGAAACATTAGGTTACATTTTAACACGGAAACTGTACTTTCAATGTAACACATTCAGGGATATTATCTGAGTAAGACTTAAAAGAATATCTAAATTAAAAAAAAAAATGAAGTCAGTTTTTGCCTAAACTTCACAATGTCTAAACTAATATTACTGATCCAAAGATGCTGCAGACAAACATCCTCCTTCGCTCCACTTTGCTGTCCCATCTCCAAAGGGATAAAAAAATCTAGATGTCAGTTCTAAAACAGCTTCCAAACTAAAATGACTAACCACTTCCAACTGAAAAACTATAAAATCAAATTCACCTAGGATCATTTACAGCCATCTGCTCAGAACCATTTTCTCACTAGTCAAAGCCTTATTTCCATATGGTCTCAAAGGTGAAAAATTACTCTTTATTATTACTCTACCTAAGCTACAAATGGAAGTCTGTTATAGTAAACCCAGACATAGTGAACTTTTTGATTTCCTGAAATCTTATTTCTTTCTACTGAATTCCAGAGGGGGTAAATCCTATTACACTGAACAGTCACTGAACAGCACAGGTTAATTTAATGGAAAACACTTTCAAATAAGCCTTTACCATCTGTTTTCACCTCTAATGGCAAATCAAAGAAGAACGATTCACACTAGTATCATTAAAAAAATGCATAAGTGATTTAAATAGATGTGTTCTTTGATGAATACAGCACGCATCTGCTTGGCTTTCTTTACCTTTTATCTTAAGGAGGAAGTTCTCATTTTCTAATGTAATGCTCATCCCTGCAGTCAAAAGCACCACAATGTAAAAAAAAAAAAGGATATGCACAAAGTTTCTAAAAATAATAGTAAATAATTCCGTATAATGTGAAAGTGAAGCTCATTAGTAGTTCCAAATTGCCTCTGTGCAGCAAGTGATCTTAACACTACTTCCCTTACTAAGAGTTCCTCATACTCAGACAGCAGCTACCCTTATCTCAAACTATCCAACTGATGAACATAAAGAACTCAGAACAAGTGCTTTCAGCCAGGACTTTACCTGAATTTTTGCTACAACTGAAGAAAGCCTTCTGCACTTGAAAACTTGTCTCCTCTCCCCCCAAAAACTATGTTCCAGCAACATGCTTCAACTTACTTTTCATTTCTTAAAATAAAAGATATATGGTCTTAGATTAGCTGTATAGAAAGAAGATGACTTTAAAGAAGTGTAATGTACACAAGGAAAGGAAGAAAAGTTTATAAATGTAAACAAAAGATCAAGCAGCTCAATATAGCCAAGCAGCATAAGAAAAGCGTAAATAAATGAGTGGGTAAAAGTAGATACTACAACATTAAGAAACCCTACAAACCGCAGTGAAAACATATGCTATGACATACACCTATTCTCAGTAGCTACTGCAAGGAGGTACAACACAGAGTAGTTATAAAGGGAATTACCTTACATATAGAGAATCTATACAGAAGCTATCTGTTACAGCTGGCACCTCCAGGAATAACGTGTTGTTAGAGTGACCAGCAGCAGAAAGATCAGGAAAGGGAAAACAGGTGAAGAGGTAAGAACAAAAGATAAAATACTCTGCAATACCCAATACAGTGGAACATCAGAGCTATCACTACAGTCCCAATTAACAATCACTAAAAGAAAGCATTGTTTATATTATTTACTCTAATACTCACAGGGGTGAAAAAAATATTTAAAAAAATCTATATTGCATGTTTCTCATATAGTGATTTTGTCATACAAGAGCAGGAGGATTTTAAAAACAGAATGACAATCTGGTGGAAGCCTCCTTGTCAGTATGTGGTCCAACTCTTAATTTTATAGATCTAAAAAGTTTTACTCTACTCCAATAATTTCAGCTCTATATTTGAAATATCATAGCTTACTTTCCATCTCTTCCAAAGATGTGAGTTAACAGGCTCTAAGGTTAACAGTTCATGGTATAGTAGTGTGCACTTCTTTCAACACACACAAATTTAGAACAGTTAAAAAATCTATTACCCACCATTTACCAACAAACATCCAGACAGATGCCTTTAAAGCATAACAACTTAGTTAAAAACAATATTAAAGGACTTTTCTCTGAAAAAGAACTGAGGTTACCAACCTGAAATCCCCTTTATTGTTCACAACCCTCTCTGGAGGGCAGTACTGCGCAGAGCTTTCTAACACCACAATGTCTACTGTCCTTGTGTTATTCCCACGTCTGGTTTGTACGTGGCAACCCCAGTTTCCTGTTGAGCCAGCCTGAATGTTTGAAATTGTCAGTGCGCTGGGAAGATAAACAAATAAAACCCAACAGTGTTGCAATAAAGTCTATATAAACTTTTACAAAAAGATGAATAAAGTACAGAGAGAGAACAGAAGAAACAACCAATTAAATACAACTGGCAGTGATCTTAAAAAATGAGAGCTCTCTATGAATCAACGGACTGTAATTAAAAGAGAAATATTTACTATTCTTCTAGGTCTCAATTTTGCCAAGGTAGGAAAGAAAAACAGCAGTCATGGGAAAAAGAAGAGATGAGAAGTCCAAATTCCTCAAGTGTTATCACTGCTCTTCAACAAAAAAAAAAATTACAGTTGTTCTAGAAAGGCCAAAGTAAAATAATATCTGAAATGGCTAATTGTGATAAAGTTGTGATAAAGTTAAAGGCCCTAATTTACTAATACAATTACAGTATACATAACCACTCTGTAGATGCTGAATGAGTAAAAAACCTGCTGCAGGCAGAATAAATTATACTTCTAGATCTCTGCTGGAGAACTTCAGTACTACCAACTGTAGTGTGCTCAAAAGGAAGAAGAAAGAAACAATGAGTAGTTCAATTAAATGCCTTGTTTTTGTTATTTTAATGTTCCAAGAGAATAAATGTATCCTACCACAAACATATTTTACATGAACTGCATTGGGTAATCCTTGGAGATAATTAAAACCCAACTGCAACACTCCTGGGCAACCGGCTCTAGCTAACCCTGTTTTAAGCAGCTGGCTTTGACTAATCAAATCTCTGGATCTACCTCATCAAACTTGATAGTTAGCCACAGTGACCAAACCCAGGTAATTTAAGAGATGAGTGATGTTACAAACTACTTCCTTGCTTGGGATGTTTCTGTCTATGTATGTTCACTCAGTGAGGATATGGGAGGGCCTTACTGCGTTGTGGAAATAGTCACTAAATCAGAGCAGAAAATAAGGAGTGAGAAATACATTTTTTCTTTATGGATTCACCTTGCAATCAGTGAGCAGTTATGAATCATGTTTTTTTCAACAAAAATACCCTGGGACTCATCAGTTTCCACTATCTTTCCATCCTGATACCACAAGACTTGCATGTCTTGATCAATATACGAAGCCATACATTGGAATGGTAGACTATCTCCTTCAAAGACAACCTGACGGTGAGATGGAGTCATATAAAAAGATGGTAATTCAAGCGGCGGTTCTAGAATTCAAGAAATAAAAGCATAATTAATAGCAAGAATATGTTATATACATAATTTTCAAAAGAGGAAAAAATATACTAAATGAGTATCAATTACTGATATAACCTCCTTGTAAGTTGCATCTTGCAAGATTTATATAAAAACTACATTTGATGCATCAGATACTGAAAAATACAAATTCTCAACATATTCTTTTTCAAAGTGTGTATTCCTTTAATGTAATACATTTCAAAAATCTCTTGCTGGCCCATATCCAAAAGAGTGAAAAATATAAACTTGAATAAAAAATTTATTTATACATTTTATTTCTTCATGTTTTCTCATTATTAAAATTTCAAAAACCACAAATACATGTTTTATTATTTTGACAGATAGAATAACTAATACAACAAAGAACATCAGCAAAGAAGGTCATAGTTTCATCACAACAAGAAGGCTAATCAACAGAATTGGCATGTAGGAAACTAAGTATATAAAATTAAGACTTTTTAAATTCAGCAATTTGGGCTTGGAATAATTTAACATCTGAAGCTGAATAGCTAGAAACTGTTTTTGGAAAAAAATTATAAGTTTCTGATTCTTTTTGTGAATTTTAGGTAAATAATAAAAAATATGGATAGGCAGGAAAAAGCAGGAGATAAACTCCAGAGAATGCTACTCTCAAGAGCTGGGCTTGATGATCCTTGTGGGATCCTTCCAACTCACAACTTTCTATGATTTTATGATCTTTAATTTCTACAGACTAACATCCATAATAACCAATGCATTTATTATTGATTTCCAAAAGCAAACAACAGTGAATCATGACTAAAGATCAGCTTTTGAAAAAGAATCACTGTTACCACTATCATATAAGTGCTGAATTTCAGGGAAACAAAGCAAAGCAAAAAAGTCTGTTCGCTAATATTAGCAGAATATTGAATGCATTATACAATAAGCATCAGTTGTCAAGAATGCTTACCACAGGTCAGAAGCTCCTGCTTAACACCAGTCACTGTCTGCGACTGAAGTGACCTGGGATAGGCGCATTTAGTTTCACGTACAGTTATATTTCTTTCCTTTAACCACTGATGCATCCACAGTATGTTGCAATCGCAAAGAAGATAATCAGTCTGAAATTCTCTGCAATGCAAAACAGGTATTCACAGTGATAAAATGCAACACTCAAAGGTCTGAAAGCTTGACACCAACAGCTGTGCAATGCCTCTCATTGTCAGACACACAGTGAACAAGCAGTCAAACCCCAGAATACAGCGGAGTTGCCTACCGCTACGTATTGGAAGATACTCTAATCCTCTGCAAGCTGTGGTTTGAGAACAAAAATACCCACTCACTGAGAAAAGGAATCCTCTGCATAAATATGAGGAACATCTAATAACTGCACGTGAAAAAAATTACTAGAGATTTATTTCATGAAGGGAGTTTGTTATTTAAGTGACTACTAATAAGGAATCGCTTGAATATGCATCACTATAACTTAAGAAAACGCTTCATTGCTTCATTTTAACAATCAGATGCTTTAACAGTAAAATCAACAGAAATATAGAAGTAGCCTCTAACCTATGTCTCTTTTGAGAACTATTCACACAATTTTAATGATGGTTTTTACTCTGCTTTATATGAAAATCATGTAAGGCTTTTCACTGATTCATAAAGTCTTCTCTGTATAATTTAATACTTTCTACTAAAAAGACATACCAAATCCCCCATAGGTGTTTGTTTTAGTCAGCTAGTATTGCTGTTTCTACACTGATTTTCACCTCTAGTGAAAACATAATTTATTTTTCTTTTTGCAAATGTCTAGAGAATAACACAACATCACAGGCAGAACACTTCAAACACTAAATCAATATTCCTGTGAAACTCCGTTTGGTCTTTGTTCACAGGAATTCCTCCAGACGCACACGTTTTTAATAGAAACGGTTATAGCCAGGTTCTCTTGTCAGACCTGTGATGTTCTTGGACAGCAACTCTTAGGTACACAATTAAAACACTGTGCACAGCAACTTAAGAACAATTAAAAGAAGATGGAAGATGGAAAGAAACATTTGCCTCTGTAAACAAGAAATTAACTCAGTATCAAAGCCAGAAGTCAAAACTTCTGAGAAAAATCCCAGTACTGTGAGCCAGCTGTCATGACTACCAGCGAAAAATGCAAGCTAAGCACCAGCATTGGTAATTTTTTTCATTTACTTTCTTCCCTAGACAAGATTACAACATTCATGAAATTAAAGAAGAGAAAAAAACCATGAGGTTGAGATGTATCCACTGTTAGGTGTAACAAAACTATACTGTTCTTCAAGGACTAAAATATTCCTTAAAAGTATTTGTTCCCTTTGTTAAAAAAAGGTGTAAAACACTATCTATGTAATATAGAGTAATACATGATGCATAAAGAACAAAACTTCCAGAAGCCCAGATGCTCGTTTCTTTCAGAACTATGTAACAAATACTGAGCATCTTTTGAAGGAAGTTATATAAACACCCAAATATCTGTTTACATACGTTTCCCATGCACTTATCCAGATAAAGAAACCACTGTTATGATATTGAAAAAGTAAAAATGCAAAACTGTAGTACAAGCAAGATAAATAAAACAGTTTTTGTTAAAATACAAATGATCATGCAAATTAAAGATTAGATGCAGTAAATACTTACAGAGACTTTAGTGAACCAAGATGATCAAATGTTCCCTGTGTAAGTGTAGAAAACAAATTTCCAGAAAGATTCCTAAGAAATAAAAGTAACATGATTTGAACTCATGCTCAAGCAACTGATTTGAAATAAAAAAAAAATCCCTCTTCAAGATAAAATTATTCTAAAACCTGCAAGATACTATTATGACATTCTGTCGTAGTTCACAAGACTGTAAGAATAACAATCAGATCTGATAGCCTAGCAAAAGTCCCCAAAGAAACTGTTCCCCTATACTCTTTTAGCTGAAGAATTTTAAGATTGGGAACAAAGACTGACAGCAAATACTTTATTTTTATTCTAAGCAACAATTAAGACATGTTGAGCATACACTTCAGTAAGTTTAAAATTAGCTGTTCATACTGAATTGATGTGTTGCTATTAACATGCTCTAAGAACAACTGATCTAACAGAGTATTTTTGAAAAATATTATACATCCTACTTTCTCTATATCAGTGAAAGCACTGCATAAGAAGCTAACAAGCAGGGTAAAGAAACATTCCATAATCCTACATGTTACTTTCTTAAAGTAAATATACGAACTACAAAACGTGTAAGAAAGCCAGCAAAACACAACCACAGTGTTGGTAGAAGGCAGATACCAAGAGATTCCATAACCCTGAAATATTTTTCTAGGGAAAATATTTTGTACAGTCTGCTACTCTCTCCAACCTCAGCCTCGCTATAGCTTCTAAGAAACTGGAAAATGGTTGCAAAGCAGACAGAGCACTGGCAGTACGGTTTTGGTTGCCCCCACCGCTCCACCTCCCGATCCCCTCTTTTTTTTTAATTTTTTTTAAGCTTGCTACTGAGCAGCAAACCACTATCACCCACCGCTCCACCTCCCGATCCCCTCTTTTTAATTTTTTTTAAGCTTGCCACTGAGCAGCAAACCACTATCGTAGTCATATTGCATGTCTTTCAAGCGCACACTTAAAACAAAGTACTCCCATTGAAATAAAGAATGTTAACTTACATAAGACTAAAACTTAAGAAATTAAATGATATACAACAAATTATACTTACAATCTAATAAGGTTTACAAGTCCTTTAAATATATCTGCATTCAGGCAGCCTATTCTGTTATTAGTTAAGTCTCTGTAAATAGAAAAAAGACAAATCAGAATAAACTCTTATTTCCAAATGGCATACAGTCTGTAAACAGAAGTATTTCAGCTAAAACTCAGGAGTAACAGATTGCACCATGTATACATTTAGTCTTTTTCAGCAAAACATAAAAGGTGCTGCTATATGGGTGCACACACAATGCACATTTCCTTTTTCCATTTCTAAAGTAGAAATGGTTTGCCTATATTCTGTTAAATAAGCCTAGCCTTATCAATAAATCCCCTTAGAACAGGCTTGGTCTACAACACTACAAAGTAAATTTTTGTATTTGTACAGTATACTCATCATATGCTCTACATCACTTAATTTTTTGACATGCCAGAGAGACCTAAACTACTGCATTTATTGTACATAAATAGAACCACTTCTATATTTATACTTACATAAATATTTAAATACGATGTATTTTACAATGTCAGTCTTAAATCAAATCACCAAAAATTCTTAAAGGAATAAAAACTAAGCTTGCCATTAGCAACAGTCCAGAATTGGTCCTTCAGCTTTATTTTTAAGGTTTTCAAAAGTGTAACTACTAGCAAAGTTTCCTTTTAAGTAAGCCAGATCATCTGAGCAGTGACAAATGAACACATATGCTACAAAAATTTAAGAAGAAAAGCTGTATGCTGACTAAAGGTGGGGGAGTGGTGGGTGCAGTGGTGGCAAAATCACTACGACTTAAAAGCTGTCCCAAATATTCTGAAAATCTGAAGAGTGTTTTTAAAAAATAAAAAATAAAACAGGCCACCATGCTGAGGTCTTGTTGGAATTTTTACAGCCAAGGTATAAATCCCCCAAAAATGTGTTAATGGGAATGTTGGCACAGCCTACAATAAAGCAGCATTAACAGCACTGTAACTTTGTAACTTCACTGCAGTATTAATAGCAAGGGATTCTGTTCCACTGTCATCTTGGGCCCGGGGGTGGGGGGCGGGAATCGTGAGGAGTTTAACATTTAACAAAGCAAGACTTGACAAACAAATGTGAACATTCACCCAGTGACGTTTCAAGTCACTGCAATACAAAAAGAGCAGAATATCACCAACAGACTGTCAGTTAGAACATGTGAGACTGCCAAGCCACAAGCAGTGGATTTTTTCAGTCATGAGACTGAAAGCAGACTTTGTTTTATACAGACATATATGTGTGTATAAATTTAGAGAGCATATATATATGTTCAACTTTTAATACATAATAGCTTTGCTGTCTAAATTTCCAGAACCTAAGACTTGCTCTAGTCTCAGGGTTTTTTTGGTTTGTTTTGTTTAAACTGACTAGCTAGATACACTACTTACAGTCTTTTCAGAGATGAAAGCCCCAGAAAAGCTCCTGGATCTATAGTACTAATAAGGTTGTTCTTAAGGTCCCTGTGAAAACAATTAAGACATAACAATTACCGCAAGCTACCCTTTAAAACAGCTATACATGCACGAAGATACACTTAGCTCATCTCAATTTGTCTGAAAACTGCCCAAACCCGCCATACAACACATTTCTACTTTCTCAAACATAGTAGCTTTCAAAATTTGAAAATCTACATTTAAACTAGAAAGAAGACTATAAACAGCATATGTATTCCTTTAGATATTCTATCAGTTCCTATCACATGAAAGGATATGGAGTCAAAGATACTTTGCTACAGTGTCCGAATAAACTACACCTGCTCAGGGTGTAACATTTGCTCATCTCACAGTACAATACTGTTCAGCACAGTGCTGGTGTCTTCAGCCTACTCAATTTTAAATACTTCAGTAGTGCTCAATTTCTACCAAAATAAGCAAAACAAGATCTTAAAAACACACCAAAGACACAACATTGAAGTTTCCACATTACTGGCACAAAAGCAAAGCCCTGGCTGAGTATCCCAAATAAAGCTGGTGGAAAAAACACAAGAGTACAGCTTTTTAAATCTTAAGTTTCCAGAAAAGAAGACTGTAAGGAGAAATGTAAAGTAACTGTGTCATTAAATTGTGTTATTGATTGTAGAAGTAATATAGGAATTTTAACTTGAGATATTTTGCAGATACAGCTTAATTTTAAAGGTCACAGAAAGCATCTGCCAACATCTACAGTTTTGAACAAACTTTATCACTGCATGAATACTAAAAATATTTCTAGTTTTTTATTCATCCAAGATTTTTACTATACTATGATCTGAATGTTTGCACGAACTTATTACAAGAAAAAATTCTCATTCCTTGGTAATCTGTGAATATTCTTCATTTGAAAAGAAAAATTAGTAATTTCAATTAAAAACGTTTTAGTAAGCAAGGGTAGAAAAAAAAATCTCCTAAATCTACCATAACATCAGTAATTCTGCCTGAAAGAGCAGTACAAGAGGATTACATCTACCATCACACAGATATGCATGAGTGAAAATACAAATTCATCCTGAGGTTTCACAATAGCATTTCCTGCAGCCAGATTAACAAATCATGGCACAACAGAAAGTGTCGTGGCACACGGATCATGCTTCAATGCTGTACCTAATAAACATTTTAAATACTTGAAGTATTTAAAATCACATATTTATTTATTTATTTACCTTGCAGTACAGTAAATTAATTTTCAATAAAATTATAGAATTAAAGAATCATAGAATAGTTTGGTTTGAAAGGGGCCTTTAAAGGTCACCTAGGCCAACCCCCTGCAGAGAGCAGGGACATCTTCAACTAGATCAGGTTGTTCAGAGCCCCATCCAACCTGACCTTCACTTCTCTTCTACACCCTTCTCTTATCTCAACTTTATTTTCTTGCCCTGTACTGTGGCAGGGACTACCAACTACTTCCAAAGCAATATTAGGAGCATAAAGAACTAATGTTTTTAAGCCTCTTTCAGCAGGCTTCTAAAACCAGTAACAAGACCATGGCAGATCCAAGAATACTAAATGTTATTCATTGCTTATCTACCACGAGTCTTCAGGATAGGGAAGGAAAATTATATACTTACTGTTCATATTTAAATTCCAGTTTAATATCATGTAACTCCCACTTAAACTTAAAATCTCACTGTGGAAAACACTCAGGAGAAAAAAAAAAAAGACAATATGCCTTGGAAATCCACTAGTCTAGATTATCAGTGATCTTCAATTTCATCACTTAAATTCAAAGTGTACTCCCCAATACACCTCTTTCTTAAATCCAGTGCTTTAGTGGAAAAAAAAAAAAAGTTTTAAAATTAAAAGCAAGAGTTTTACTACTTCCACAACCTGTTTATACATCTTGTCAGAGTAGCTGATAAAAGCTGATTAGCCTAGTCGTTATGTATTTTTTCCTTTTTCCCCTCCTCCTCGTAGGTCTTAATACCAGTTCCAGAAGGATAATTACACTAGAAATAATACATTATTTTTAGAAGAAATGCCAATGTCTTATTTTGTAAATAAGATGTCTTATTTTGTAAATAAGACAGCAAAGCATTAATGAACCCCCGTGCTAAAGTAATTTTTAAAAAAGACCCTGTATGCACAGTGTTAACATTTTCTCAACCTACAACTACAACAGTTGGAGAGTCTCTGGGGTTTTTTCCCTGCTTCCCAGTGGCAGTCATACGTAAATACTAGCTTTCTATTCATCTATCAGAAACTGTGAAATAAGAGATATTTAAAGATCCCAAAATTAACACAATGCTGATATGTCTGGCAGCTCTTCAGAAACAGTAAAAGATGATGATACACAGGCTGGGGCAACTGCCAGGACTTCAGGATCTAAGGCAGTTTCTAAACGAAGAAGTGACAGTTGTGGTTAAACCAACAGACTGATAAGATTCTCACATAAAATGGAGGTAGAGGAGACAATCTCATTAGCAAGTTGTGTTTAGCTTTAAAGTTTTGTTTGTTTTTAACACTTATGAATACATTTATACAGAACTCCTGAATTTTAGCAATGGGAATTTAATCATCTCAGCTGCTTATTTTAATAATTTTTCTTCGGCAAAGCTCAACCAACAGGATATAGTTATAGATATTTATTTGTCTAAATAAAATAAAATCTGTCCAAAAGAAATCCATTAGAAGAGAGTTTCAGTTAGGGTAATATTACAGCTTCCCCAAGCTCTAGCTCATTGGTACATCTTTTATCTTGCAGTAACTACATCTTTCAGCTAGCAATTAAAAATACTGCTGGGGAAGGGAAAAAAAAAAAAAAGCCCACAAGCCAGGCAGTAGAGTCATCTTTTACTGAGAACCTATTAAAAAAAACTATTTTTCTCTTAAATCTAAGTAACACTGCAGATGAGGATGGCCCTGTATTTATCTTGGAAGGTGACTAACTGAGATCGGGATAGTAGAAAAACTTAGGTTTTAGGGGATATGTTGAGGTCATGTAGTTCAACTTCTGACTCAAAGCACAATTAATCAGATCAACTGCCCCACTCTTACGTCCACTGAAGTCCTGAAAACCTCAAAGGATGCAGATTTCACCATCTTATTGTCCAACTCTCTACATGTTTACCCATTCTCATTTTGAAGAATTTTCTCATATCCAACTGGAACAGCTCTTTTGCAAATCCACGATTAAGTGAGCAAATAGCAACTTACCAACAAGCAAAAGTATTTTTTAAGAGCCTCACAACTGCTTCTAATGTTATGGTGTTAAGATATGAAAAAATAACTTCATGAAAGAATAGTTAAATTTAACTATGGTTTGCCATATAAAAAACAAAATCCTTTCATTTCATTAGAATTTACAATGAAATATTTCAGTGGCCAGTTGGCTAGGGTTTGAAAGTGCATGTGTACATACTTAAAAATTACTTATGTATGAATACATATTACTTATAATTTACTGCCTTCTGTCTCAGCACAATAAGGATTGTCTTAATTATTACTAAAGCATCATGCAGGCACAAACAAACAATGCATATATATACATGTAGTGACATGGATACATTATGTAGCTCTCAACTACCACTGGATAAATTATCTTTTCTTCCTGAATAGAAATTGAAAATGAACATCAGATGAGAACACACTAGCTACCATGGACTCTTGCTATATGAAATGCCTTTTCAAAAAGGAAATGGGGGAAGAGGATAATGTAAGAAATTACAAAAATAAGGTTAAACATCACAAAGTCAGCCTACCCCTCCCACAGCTCTATGGGGTGTAGACTTTTTTCAGTCAGATCCAAAAAATGCTTATGACTGATTAAACAAATGTTATGTTTCCTCATAATTCACTGTGTATTACTTCAATTCTACCCTATACACACATAGGCTTTCTCCCTAAAACACAGCAGGCTGGATTTATTTTGAGTTTTCACCATCAGTGTAACAAATATTTAGGGTACCACCAGAACTGTTAATAACTGAAAGCCCAATATGTTATTGCATGTGGGTCTCAGATGTATAATTCTGCTTTCAGGTCACCATATTCACATTGTATGTGAGGATCAAGTGCTGCTGGGGCTGTTTCACCAGGTTCAGGTAACATTCTAGGAAAGAAAAACTTACTCAAATTTATCACCGATTTTGATGACATTAGAGTAATACAAAACCAGAAAGCAATTAGAGCGCCCAGGTTCATAAGGAACCACAAAAGAAGAGATAATAGACAGTGTCTCTTCTTGGACATTTTCCAAATGGAAATTAAAGAGATGTTACTAAAAATCAGCTCTTGACTTTTTCAAAAGTTCTTACATATGCTTTTGACATTCTCTTGTGTCTAAAGAAATCAACAGCAACTTAGATCACTTTGTTTTGCTTACCCTATCACATCACCTGTGACACGCACTGATGAATGACAACAGTCAAAATTTCTTGCAGATGTAATGCAATAAAGTTAAAAAAAAAAAAGCTTGAGACTACCACACTTCTGCAAACTAAACAAAAGCTAGAACTCAGACCAATTTTTGTTTCCTTCAAATAATTTCTATATTTCCAGCAGTTCAGTATACTCCAAACTGTTCAATTTCACAGCACAGATTTTTCAGCAGAGACTAGAAGCACATTCTGCCCCCCTCACCACTCATCTTACAGAAATTACCTGAGAAGCAGGTGAGGAAGGGAAAAATAAATATTTTGTTAGCCTAACACTCCCAGTCTTCTCCTGACAGAAGCACAACTAACAGAGATGGAGCTTTCAGAAGAAAAATCAGAACTCAAGTTAGAGCAGAAAACATGGTCCTGAATATTCATAAAACCATTTTTCTGCTCCGTAATTTTCAAACAAGAAATACTGATACTTTCCAATCACTTTTAAAGACTTCCAAAAAAAAAGTTCAGATGCACCACTAGGAGAACTCGAGTCTATCTTTTCACATGCTCTGCTGCACTCTCACAAGAAGAATTAAAATCAGAAATTGCCACTGTCTGAAAAAGGATTAGACACTCCTATTTTTAAGGCATCTATATATCTGTAGTTCGGTGCTGTAAAAATAGCAGAAAAAAAATGAGACTGTCTACAAATAACACTCCCTTCACACTGCATATTTTCCCTTTTCAAAGTTATATTAGTATATCCTAAAAATACATTGGTAAACCCTTGTCATTATTTACAGTTCTATAAACTTCAAATACATCTTTCGCTATCTTACTTATTTCCATGCCTGTCTCTTTCTCCTTTCTCCCTCATGTACAATGAAAAATAGCACTTCACAAACACATAAAGTTATCTTCTTTACCCTTTAAAAAAATTAACAGGCAGCATTAGCTAGTTTCCAGATGGAAGATAGCATTTTGCTTCTAAGTTGCTGGACTTTGAATAATGCTATATAAAGTCAAGTACCTATGAGATGAAAAATTATCTGTCACAAATTAGTTGTGCAAGAAGGTACTTCAACATTTAAACTGCAGGAAATTCATAGAAAAATACAGCATTAAAAAAGTCTGTGGAGATTAAAATATTTAATATCCTTTTGTACAGACACTTTAACACTTAAGGCAGTTAAAATCTTTGACCCGCTTACTGTTATTCAGCTGTTGTTTGCATGATTTTTTTTCCTATAAGAGTAAATGTAGGCATAGCATAGTCATTTTCTACTGTAATTAACAAACAATTCACCCTGAAGTAAAACAAAACTCTTATTTTGGTAATCTTATCACTCCGTTTACAAAATAATGCATTACCACATTCTACATTTTCATAAATTAACATACATGCACAAAATTATTAACAAACAAATTTGAAATTCTACTTGGATAAAACTACAAAAATAATTTTAAAATATGTAAATTTTCATTAAGATGTCCAAGAACTAAACAGGAGAAAACAAGTTTAGTACGCTAACAGATGAATTATGAAGTTGTGAATCTGTATGTCAGGTTTCAAAATATTTATTAAAATGCAATTAAAAACAATTATTATGCAGGTGCATGTTCCTAACATATTATTTGACTCATTTTATTGTAAAGGCTTTGGTTAAATATATGTATGCATCTATTCAAAAACCATTAAGGAAAAATGAAAAAGATACTTGCTAAATATAATGTTACAAGGAATGAACAAACAAGCATTAAATACATACATAATCTCTTCCCTGGTAAGCAGTAATGTTAAGTGACAATGTTACTGTCTGTATTAACTATTTAAATGCTAACTGAATTTATTTATTTTTATTTATTTCTTTTATCTCCATTTCACTTCTTAAATTAAAAGTAGGGAAAAGAGCATATCTACAAAGAAAGCACTCATAAGGAAGCAAAGGCAAGGATGAGTAGTAACAAAAAATAAAAATAAGAAAAGAACTGTCAAAAAAGAGCAATTTTAAAGGCATGCAAGTGAATACATTGAATATTAAGGAATATAATTTGAAACTGCTGAACATAATGTTAATTTTTAAAATAGTTGCTTTCAGGTCGTTTTTTTTCCCCTTTTACTACTGACTATTCATTTAAGTTTGAAAAATTATTTTAATTACAAGAGTAGCTTCTGTCCAAGGTCACAAGAGCATTTAAAGCAGAGAAGTTTACTTTTAATGTGGTTTAAATACTTTTAAAAAATGTCTTGTGCGCACGCACACACACAAAGATATAGTCATCAATGACAAGTATATCATGCTAGTTATCCCTTCTTCTATGACAATGACATCTGGCCATTAATAAAAATTTGTTGATATATTAACTCCTACACCAGTGCACAGAAAGTGTGTTATTCAGATGAGATCATACCAATGAAATATTGCTATCCCAGATCATTTTAAATGCTCTAAAGATGCCTGCCTTACTGCTTTATTTTCCTTTTCATGAAAGAATGTAATAAAATAACCTAAAAAATCCTTACAAATGACAGGAGTTAAATGGAAGAAAGCTGGGTTCTTATGATTTTAAAGAAAATTAAGATTTGAATTCACAGAGCAAAATGTAAATGCATTCATAGACTGGATTCATAGAGCAAATGTAAATGATCATATCAAACTAATTAGAGTTTTAAGTATTTCCTGTCTGAAAATTGTAATGAGTTACGAACAAATAACAACTGTCAGCAAGATGCCTTTATTACCCAAGCAAGGATGCCAAAATAATGTGTAAAGATCGAGAATGCCATCATTGCTGATAACCTTGCTTCTCTGGCATAATGTCTTACTTCTACAATAAAGCCCATCTGTCAGTGCAGAAGACAAACCTTTCTCCTGGCATATGGGGGATGGAATGGTGGAAGTGTTTGAATTTATTTAGGCCAGGTGACCGGGATTGCAGCCTTCAAGTTTTAGAGGAAGAATAAAATACTTTTAATCCCCTGAAGCCAAAAGTCATTTGGAACTCTTCCTAGATGTTGCGAGATGATTATGAAACTGGCTACTTTCCCAGTCAAATGGCCTAGAAAAATCCTTATCTCTAAAGTTTCTGCTTGCTCCCAGGTAGATCAACCTGCCAATCCTGACCTTCTAAAAGCTGGAAAAAAAGCTGACTGCAACAGAAGCTACAATGCTGCTTCTTAACCCACAGGTGATATATCATCTGAAAGGGAAAGTGAAAACAGGAAGCAAAAGGCATCCAAGAACTTACTCCCATCAGACTCACTCCCATTTCCCCTTCCCTCCCTCCCCATACATTTGGTATATAGCAAAGCTGTAAAGTAAGAATTAAAACTGTTAAAATAAATGTCAACAACAAACTTAAAATGAATCTAACATCTTTTAGAGGCTCTAATGTATTTCCCCTACAAATATACTTTACAATTGTTGATAAGGGGTTTGACACTCCATAGGAAAATAAATAAATAATTTTCTTTACAACATAAGTTTTCTAAGTATGAGACCAACAACAACAAAGCAAATCCAGTTGTCACAGCATTCCAGTGAACTTCCCAGTGAAACTGCCCTAATCTCACCCGCACGTGTGATGATGCCTTTATGCTGTTACATTCATATTCAGGAAGAGAATGCTTAACAACGTTAACTCTTCAATCACAGAAAAACCACATCAAAATAAGTAAGAACACATCTCTTAAACAGGACATTTTGTTCTCTGAATTATTACTGAAACATAAACAGTATATCACTTAGTTTTTAAAGTGAAAATAGCTTTTTAAGTGCTTACAATCTTTCAAGAAGGTGTAATCCAGAGAAGGAACCATTCTTCAACTCTGTTATTTTATTGTTACTCAGAATCCTGTAAACAAAAAACAGACAAGAACAATACATTATAAGTTTGGTAACAAAATTATTTGCTGCAGCTTACACTTCTGGTGTAAATATTTTGGTTTAACAGTCTTTATATCAAACTACAATGCCTAGCTCCTTGTCCAAGGTGTATAAAACAGCACTGCTTAACTATTATGAGGGAGAAAAAGAGGGTTTTCTGTTATATGTGCCAAGTACCACGCAAGCTTACATCATTAACATATGAAAATACACCCATATAGGATCATCATGATAAAGCAGCAGAATTGGCATAATGAAAAATGAAGTATTAAACAATCAATCTACACATTCAACGTTCTGTTCTTGCACGTCCATTTTGGTTTTCAAAACCACACAGCATATCGCGGGATTCCCATTTCCTCTGCTGCGAGCGACCCTCAGCCACTCGCACACACTCACTTCCATGTTGTGCCACCTCTCCCACATTCACACATCCTTCACACATTCATCCTTCTCCTCAATGCAATCCTTCTAAAACATCTGCAAATAAGTTCAGCAAGCACTCCTTTACTTCTGTCTACCCTTTCTTCTCTTAAAGGACCACATAACCACAAGCTCCCTCTTCCACACAAAGAACTGGATCAGGCCCATCTAGCCAAGTACCCTGTTCTCCAATCACAGCTGTCTGCAAATGCAAATTATCCTCAACTTAGGAAATCCCTTGTACAGCTGGATGCTTCCTTACTTAGAAGGAACTGCTTTCTATACAGCTACATATTTTTGCGTCACAAAAAAGCCTATTTTCCTTTTTAATCATGTAAAATGTTGGCATCCACAACACTCCTTAGGAAAGGTTTTGCAGTACAAAGCTCCATTCCATAAAGAACACCTCATCTCATTCATTCTGAACACAGCTCCTGCTAGCTTCATTGGATGCTCCCCACTTCTTACACTGAATCAAGCAGTAACCAAGCCCTACCTACTCTCTCTTTACCATGTGTAATTATGTTAGAAACCTAGGTGGTCTCTTGCCAGATGGAAGATTAATATTTTACTGAATTATTCTTCACACTAAAGTCATTTTTTGCTGCCTTAATCATTTCTGAGCTCTTTCCAGCTCAGAAAAAATTTACACTCCAAAAATTCTGAGATAAGACCATCAGAACTGAAAAAGTATTCAACACACAGACATGTCACAAATCTACACAGTGGAATAATGATGTTCTGTTTTGTTTCCTACTGTTTTCCTAGCAATTCATAACATCTGATCTGCCTTTACCACTTGTACTAAGAACTGAAGATTTCTGGTCAGCTCAGTGCCCATCATCTTATATATGAAGAAAGAATTATCATCATCCCCAGTACAACTTTTACTTTTGTACAATGTGCTGCTTCTGCCATTTTATTACCTAATTACTAGTTTAATACACTTCTTTCAAAATTCTTCATTTTACCCTCATCCTTATTACATCAAGCAACTCACCAAACTCTGTTAACGCCCTCCTCACTTTGTTTTACAGGTCATTAAGAAATATATTGTGCATTACAGGTCTCTGAGACTCCGAGAACGCAACCATTTACTTTCAGTTCTTCTCCTTCAATGTTCATACAATGATTTTACATCTTAGGCTGACATACTATTTTCATCAAATGCCTTTGGCAAAGGACTGAGAGATGCCTTTTGGAAAAGCATCTATGTCTCATATCAACTGGATCATCCTTGTAAATATTTTGCTGATTCTGAAGAACTCCGAAGGTTTGTGGGAAGAGCTTCCTCTTACAGGAAATGGACGTTTTCCAGAGTACAGCTCCCTCTCTCTTTATTTATCCAATATATTTATTACAAATTCTACTAATTTGTTCAACAGAAACGTAAGACTTGGAACCATGTAGTTCCCCTGAACTCCTGATGCACTTATAAAAAGCAGGTTTTGCCACCCCTTCAGTCCTCAAAAATCAAGTTCATTCTAAGCAGGGCTTCAGACATTAATCATTTGACTTTTTCACCCCCGAGTTCCTCTGAAAGCTCTCCAGCACACACCATCTTGTCCTGGAAATTCATTCACTTTGTTTGTTCCACAACTTCTGCTACAGTCACTTCAATTTCAGACAGGTCCTCTATCAAATGCATCCTGCACGTCCAACATGTCCGTGTACTTCTTCACTTACACCAATTACATCTTCAGGCTGGATAACTATTTCTGCACTTGCAACTGCCACAAGGAGATTTCTTTCCAGTCTACTACATCTTTCAGATATCCTTTATAATAGCCATAAACCAAACACACACACTCCCCTCTTTCCTCCACTGCATAAAATTTATTATCTAATGACAAGGATTAGTACTTCAGAACACACCATGAGTAAGATAAAACGAAAATACAGAAACACCAATCTGTGAAAACAGCATCATTCTGACACAACCATATATTATGCTAAACAGTTTTCTTCTCCAGCTTTCTCAAAGACTACCTCAAGCCTCTGTGGTTTTAGACAAACACAGGGCAGGCAATTTTTTGTATCAAAACTCTGGCTTTGAGTCAATCTCTCTCTCTCAATCTCATATACACAGAACCAAGGCAGCTGAACAAATTACTTGAAAAATCTTTCCACCTCCAGTCTGACAGACTGAAGGTTTGAAAATTCTTGAAGTGAAGACTAAATCATTCAACTAAGGTAA